CCGTAGCCGATTCCACCTTTGTTTAGGTCATCCGCCGCACGGGAGTCTCGATAAACTTTCAAACCTTGTCTCCACGTCCCCACGCAATTATGGACCAGCCTCGGAAATTGAGTTTGCCTAGACCTGTCTCCCGCCGGAATTGTAGCAATCCAATGTTTCGTGATGTCAAAACATATATTGTATGATCACACTTTTGAGCTAACAGGAATACCGTGTAACGTGGCTTTATTTAAAAAGCCCATGTATTTGGCCGCGCTAAAACATAACAAACATCAAAGTGATAAGACTACTCGCGAAAAACGAGAGATCTCATTCAAGCTATCTTAGCTTAGAGGCTGAGTTCGACTGCCTAGTGTTAAGGCGTAAAAAATTAACTATAGGACCTAGCTATCAATTTTCTTTAATACCTATACATACCCGTAAAAACTTCGTTTCTAGACCGTTCTCAGATTCTGTTGCTATAGTCTGTCCCAAGGTTCCTATCCCCCCGTCTCTATCTCCGACCCGGAAGAGTCACAAGATAAGTTACTTATGCCTCTACCAGAACAACAAACCATCGAAGTATTAACATCGCCACCTTCATAGAAGCATATTCTAGACCCAACATAGGCTTAGTGAGTGACGTATAATCTTCATTATCAAGATGCTAAGATGGGACGCTAGATCTAGACCGGACATCACTGAGCAAGATATAAGATGGATGAGGATAAGCACGTTCTGATTTAATTTGAAGCCAATCAAACCTTCTTCATCCGGCCTTATATCAAATATGTCGGGCGCTAGATATGCCATCACATCACTTCTGGCTTTGAGCCTGAATATTTTGAATGCTTATGCACTCCCACTTGAGAAAGTGATGAATATCACTGTACCTGAAAATGCATTCCAGCATAAAGACCCACATCTTGTTTGCGTACCAACTCGATGGTATAGTTTTGTTCTCTTTTACCTCGTCAACTACGTTGCACATGCGGCGACCGTTAAATCCCTACCAGGCGAGGGGCTTCGCTCAACTATCTTTAGCATCGTTTCCTCTCTTTTCTTCCCTTATTACGGTATTTCAAGAGGCATCGAAGCTACCGTTCGCTGTGGTATTCTATATCGGGATAAGCTTACTAGAGCCGCTCGGTGCGGCGCATTGTGCACTGTTGTCCGCACAAACACCTGGGAACCGCGGGTCAACCAGATAGTCAAAGGCGTACCTATCCCAAAAGACAACGGGAATTACCGCTGGCAAATCTCCTCTGGCACGGACCTTCATATAATAGATTTGCAGTCAAGCTTTTGGTCTAGACGGGTTCATAGACTACACATTCTTCCACCTAAGGGATATGGCATCGCAATTCTACCACCTAATGCCGTCGTGCAATCAAATCTACTAAACGCTAATGCGAGCGACTCAACGAACAAAAAAGCCAGGCAGATGACTCTCTCATCATCATATAATATTGTTAAGGAAATAGCTGCTGCTGTTCAAATCATCTTTGCGATAGCTACATTGGTTCGCACAACCAATGGAGCCCAGATCAGTATGTTTAGCTACGCAGCTTTCGGTTGGACAGTTCTACCCTACCTGATCGTGTCTACCGTCAATATAGCTGGCAATTCGGTAACACCAGATTACCCAGCCCTCTATTTAGTCGATTCATTTGAGCTCCAGGAAGCCGAAGCAATTGCAAACAACGACAATAATGCTAGCGGTCAAATTGGTTTCGATGGAAAAGTTGGGAGACTTATACAACCTGACATCATACCGTGCACATTCGAAAAGCCAGATAATAAGCTTATCTGCACATTTTCGTCTCAAACGGCTGCTTCGCCTCAAGAATCTGACTCATCTCAGAAGACTGTTTCAATTGATCAAGATGCAAATGAGACACTGCAAATTCCAGCATGCGCTTCTTTTAGCACCAGTGGCACTCGAGGCTGGGATCAAAAAAGCATTTATTTTGTTTATTTCTTGACATGTTATATCTTTGGGGCGATTCCATACGCTGTTATCGGTTCTCTCACTCATTTTCAAGCCGGTGAAAGCACCCTAGCGCAACGAGTGCTGACCCAATTTTGGCTCGCGATGGGAATTTTAATCGGTGCATTACTCCCCCCCCTTTGTCAGCATGATTCTCCGTATACATTCTTTGTTCCACATGGAAGATTTGGAGCACTACGAAACGCAAAACATCCGGACGCTTGGCTACTCGCTTATATTGTTTTGTTTTACGCTGGACCTGCTATTGGCGGATATGCCATTGTAGGGCTGATGTTAAAACAGTACGGGACTTGTCCGAAGTTCTAATTAATTAATAATGGTCCTTATTGTACATCTGACATCTACAGAGTATAATATATTCACAAAACATGTACTCTACAAGAATATACTGTATTATAGACGCTGACACCGTGTTTGTTCAGGGTTGCGAAGCAGCCTGGATGTAAAGACTACGAGTCTAGGATAAGTTCTATTTCCCGTCTTCGAGTACTCGGACGACGTCTTTTCAAATGTTTGCAGACAGGTTCGGCAACAGCAGTCTCGCGTTCGTGCAACCGTGCAAAGTTTCTGGAGATTCAGAAAAGCCAATATCCCACTACATGTGAGTGAGAATTGGGATTTCGGTCCCGCAAAATAGCGTTGTTAATTATACTCAGGATCCTCGCACCAAGTGATGTCGACTTTAAGCTATTCCTCGACATTCTTGAGGAGTCGCAGGGCGGCCTGCTTAGTCGATTTAGCACCGCCGCTGAGAAAATTGTTCATTTAATTTATAAGAACATGGAACATCCTGAGCCTTTTTATTTAGAAATCGTGGATTCTAAAGAAATAATGGAGCATCGTAAGGGCTCGCCGGGCCTTCTGAGGATGCTGGATCAAGAAAAATATTGTTATTGATTTTAAGTTCTTCGATGGATGGTAGTCGCGCTGTTTTTTGTGTTTCTGAATGTTTGACCAAACTTTCTACTTCGGAATTGAGATGAGACGGGTTACACCAGCCAAGTTGCTTCATAACTTCGTGTCATGTTAAGCAGACCCAGCTCAAGTATGATGCGGGGCCGTGGGATATCATGAAGCCATTGAGAGCCGATACTTCCGTGTGATGGGCGATCTGCCAATCGGATTACGGAGTGTTCGCCGAAAGTGGGTCTCCTGGCTGGAATCTTTGTTTGCTATATGATTTTTGTCTAGTAGCAAACAAAGAGAACTGCGAGCAAGGATGTGAAAGAAAAACAAATAAACGGCTGAATATCATGAATTCTGAATCCCTGGATCTCACTGATTCTCCCAATTCTCAAAGCCCACTCTCGTATCCAAACTTCTCTCTCCGCAAGGCGCCTGCCACTCATCTAATCCCGACATGTCGAAGAACAATCCACTGCGCGAGCTCCTGCCTAGGGAAAAATGGCGAAGCATGCGGTATCTCGAAACGGACTCGTCGACAAAACACCGGCGAGTTTCTCTGGCCTGTACCGAGTGTCAGAAAACAAAGTCTAAGGTTAGAAAGATTGTTCCTCCATTCGAGGATGGAGCTAACCTAGTGTAGTGCTCCGGTACGACCCCATGCACGAAATGTACGACCAAAGCTCGCCAATGCTTCTATAATCCAGCTGGTGATCGGAGACGCAATGCTCATACCGCCGAGCTGTTAAACTTCCGTGTCGCCCTTTACCAAATGGCTGCAAAGCTGCGCTCTGGAACGCCGGAGGAGATATTACGGTTGGTCCGGGAGATCCAAAACCTGCCAACAGATCAAGATGCAGTCAATCATCTTACTGACGGATGCTCATGTGAATGAAAATCTGAATATTCATTAAAATGCCAACTGGTTGCAGGTCAAGCCAACATCGAGGGAGCGGACGTATTGCACTTCAAAACTCGGTCAATGTTATCCCTAGTCCTCCACGCTACCTACGATATGTTACCCGGTATAAAGCTATGTCTCTCGCACGCTGTATTCCCGGAAGAGAGTACGCCTAGTTCAAAATAGGTTTCCCTGCTACACAAATTGTTTCCGCTATCCAACACGAACTAACAAATGCAGGAAAGGGATCATCTGCTTATCTACTGTACTTGGTTCTGTGAACATGCAGGTCGTACATTTAAGGGTACTTGGTATTATGATAGCCTAGCCTCACATGCTCAGCTATCTCTGTCGCTTAGCTTTAGCCTCATAACCTGAAGATGATAGTTGCTTCATCGTCGTATGGTCAGTAAGACCTTTAGTGACAGCTGCCCTATCCTCGCGTTTCTGCTTCTCCTCAGCAGCCTTCGCTGCTGCTGCTTTCGCGGCTTCTTCCGCTTTTTGCTTTGAATCTTCTTCACGTGGCATGGCAAAACACTGTGAGACTTATCAATCAGCTTATGAGATATAGTAATACGAATATGACTAAGACCTTAGAGTTTGCAGCTTTGTTTGCTACGCATAGGAAATTCCAGGTTCTGGTTTGATTTCTTTAGTGATGGAAATGAGGGGCAAGAGGGGAGGTTGAAGTAGGAGGCACTGTACGCCATTTTGTTAACGGCGGCATATACCATATACCGAACCACAAGGAAACGAGAGGGGTAAATCACGCCAAATGAGGGGTGTTTAGTTGTACTTTCGTGCAGTCTCCACCTGGTCGGTGACGTGGAGTGATACTATTCTTAACCATTCTTACTCCTCAATCAGGCATTTAGCTATTATCTCACAACTTACAGGAGAAGCTACGTGAGCCTTACAGTGAGAATTATCTAGTTTACTATTAGACGTAGTGCCAAGAACACACAAAGGCCAAAATAGTCAGATCAGGCATGATATTAATCTGAAGTATATGTTTTTGTTATTTATCTCAGTATTGTACCTTAACCTGGTATCGAATTATGAGCCTTCAGCCCTAGGAAGGAATTACATGATATCTGTGTCGCTAGGATTAAGAAGAAACCGTCTCAAATGAATCATCCACAAGGCTCTGTCTGCAGGACACTTGATCCTGTTCTTCATCTTCATCGCTTTCATGATCATAATCCAGCTGTTCACTGTTGCAAAGATGGCTCCACCACTCCTGCACCGCTTCGTGCACCCTTCGTTGCTTTCCTTCGACTTCCTCCCATGGGATACTCATAATTTGCGGAGCTGTTTTCGCTTTCGACCGAGAGTCATGCTCGATGATAAGAATGCCTTTCTCAAGCTTTCGGTCCAAGGCTTCAAGCTCTCTCCGCCAGGTAGCCAGTCGGTTGAGGATTTCGTGAGACCGCCCTTGTAGCTCTAGCACTACAACTTGTAGTTGCTCTCCACACAGTTCTA